GGAGCTTCAGTAGCAGCCTTAGTCAGAGCGCCAGGAGAGAGTAGAGGAGTCACGACAGCAGCGGCAGCAGCAGCGGCGGCAGTAGCGGCAGCAGCGGCAGCAACAGTCTCAGTCGGAGCGTCAGGAGAGATTAGAGGAGGAGTCACGATTCCCGCAGGAGGCGCAGTTGCAGCAACATCAGGAGAGAGTAGGGCAGGAGTCCCACCCGCAGCACCAGGTGCAGTTGCGGCCGCAGCAGGAGAGGGTAGAGCAGGAGTCCTGGCCGTAGCAGCAGGTGTTGTTGTAGCCACAGTAGGAGAGAGCAGAGGAGGAGCCACAGGAGCAGCAGCAGGGGTAGGTGCTGCCGCAGCGGACGCCAAAGGAGGCGGAGCAGCAGCGACTGCACGACCTGCCCGACCCAGCGCCTGCACGATTGGTTTTTGGTCCCCTACCATCCCCTCCTGTTCCCCCTGTCGAGTCCCTTTCCTCGTCCCAGTGGACTCGTCATTCTCCCCTCGGTCGTGCTGTATCCCCAGAGCCTCGTCGGTCCCGTTACCGTGCCGACGGTCCGTTTCACCTTGTTCTTCGCTCTCGTGTTCTGTCTCCACATGTCCTTCCACAACCTCCTGAGTTGTTGTTCACTATGTTTCACAACCCATTGTCAGACTACCTCTGTGCCTCTCGCCCTGTCGTCTCCCATGTTCTGTCCGCGTTGGTCACTCACCCGATTGCTCCTCCGCTGTCTGTCTCGGCCCTTGTCACTACTGTCAGTGCCTTTGCCTCTTCGCACCGCCTTGACTATGCCGCTCACCTGGTGAGCGGCACTATTCGTTCTCCGTCCTCTGGGGTTGCTCCTGTCTTCCCCTTGGAGGTCCTAGAGGACAAGCATTTCGAGCTTGATTTCCTTGCGGCTGCTGTTCCTCATCTTTGCGCCATGCTGCTTGCCCCTGAGGGGGATCCAGACGCCCTTGACATCCCGATCCCTCACACTCACACTGAGGCGGTCTCGAGACCCTGGGCTTCGTACTAGATAGTAGCTGAGGAAGCTGAGATGGCATCTTATAGGTCCACATGCACCTACGTCGACGCCGTCCCACCACCTGGGGCGAACTTTTTCAGTGACATGTGCCTCTACAAGGTGAAGCAGCCGCCTGGAGTACCACCAGTGTTCAAGGCGCGCTACGTGGTGAGAAGCTTCAGTCAGCAAGAGGGGGTAGAATTCTTCCAGACCTTCGCTCTATTAAGACGAGAGAGTTAGGTAGGGTCGAAAAAGTTCAACTAGGAAGAGAAATGTCGAGGTACAAAAGAGAGAGGGTTGGAAACCCTAATTGAACCTAGGGTGTGTTCGGTTTGTATTAAGAACTACGAAATGAACCTAAAATGAACCTGAATGCGTAGCTCTCTCTAAGCATGGAGAAATAATATAAGAACACCACAATAAAGACTAGAGCGAGCTCTAGCCTACTCCAACACACCCCCAGGCTAGGTGAAGCTCTGGAGCAAAACACCTAGCGAACCGGCACACCCCCAGAAGTGGAGAGACGTGTGAGCCCAAGCTTGCGCACGTAGAAACGGTGTGGCGCACGCAGAAGGGCCTTGGTGAAAATGTCAGCAAGGTTGGCAGCAGCGTCCACCTTGCGCAGACGTAAGAAACCAGACTGCACCAGCTCGCGCACAAAGAAATAGCGGACCTCGATATGCTTGCTGCGGGCATGATAGATAGGATTTTCAGTGAGATGAATCATGCTCGCACTGTCACAGGAGAGCGTCACAGAGGACTGAGAGTGACCAAGCTCAGCAAGGAGAAAGGAGAGCCAGCGAGCCTCCTGAGCTGCCAAGGTGCCTGCGTACAACTCAGCCTCGCAGGTGGAAAGGCAGACAGAGGATGAGCGAGTAGAGCGCCAGCTTATGAGACCACTGCCAAGAGTGAAACCATAGCCCTGAGATGAGCGGCGATCAGGGTGGGAGTCAGCATAGGAAGAGTCACTGTAGCCGGAGAGAACGGGAGGAACAGAGCCACCAAGAGTGAGAGCAAGGTCAGAGGTGGCGCGCAGATAGCGCAGGATGCGCTTAGCAGCCACCCAGTGCACGTCAATGTGGCGGCCTAGACCAACAAAGCGAGAGAGAACACTGAGGGGGTAAGCAAGGTCGGGGCGAGTGCACATCATAGCATACATGAGAGATCCAACGAGCTCAGGATAAGGCCGCAGTTCAGAGGAGGGAGCAGGGACGGCAGGGGCAGTTAGTTGATGGTTAGCGGGAAGAGGGGTGGAGACCGGCTTGGCCTGCGACATCTCAAACCGCTGGAGGATGGACTGGATATAGAAAGACTGGGAGAGAGAGATGGTTCGGGCAGCACGATCACGACGGATCTCCATGCCGAGGTAGTGACGAAGCTCGCCAAGGTCCTTGCACATGAGACGCGCCTGCAGGGCTTTCTTGACAGCTGCAAGATCGGCGGAGTCCTCAGCAAGCAGCACCAAATCGTCCACATAGGCAAGGATGTAAAGCCTGTGGGGGGATGTGCGAATGAAGAGACTGGGGTCGGAGGTGGAGGTAGAGAAGCCAAGAGAGTGAAGGGTGGAGGCGAGCTTGGTGTGCCACTTGCGTGGGGCCTGTTTAAGGCCATACACAGGTCGTTTCAATTCCCAAACCGTGCCTGGAGGGAAAGTGCGAGGAAAGCCAGCGGGGCGCTCAAGGAATATGCGCTCATGCAGCTCGCCCTAGAGGAAAGCATTGGAAACGTCCATGGAATGGATCTCCCAATTCCAGCGAGCACCAAAGTCAAGAAGGAGGCGAAGGGTGGGGAGACGGGCTGTGGGGGAGTAAGTGGCAAAGTAATCAATGCCTTCACGCTGAGTGAACCCCTTGGCACAGTAGCGGGCCTTGAAGACAGGAAGTTCGCCGGGCAGCTGCTTGACACGGAAGACCCATTTGCCTTTGACAATGGTGGCGCCAGGGGGGGGAACAGAGTCAATGTATGAATTAGTTCTGGTGAATGCCTCACACTCAGCAATGATGGCAGCCATCCACTCAGTGGCATGAAAGCCCGACACAGCCTCGGAGTAGGACTTGGGGGTGGGAATGGCAGCGGTGTCGACAGAGAGAAGAGTGGGAGAATTGCTAAAGTCACCAACGGTGACACACAGGAGAGGAGAAACAGGATGAATGTTGAAGAGCTCCTCAAAGCGATCTTCAAGAAGAGTAACATTCTGAGATGGAGAAAGACGAGTGAAAAGAGCAGAGTGCTGAAAATTAGAAAGTGCGCGAGTCATGGAGCGAGTAAGGCGCGGGGAAGGGGGGGGAATGGGAACAGACGAAGGAGGTGGAGAGGAAGATGGAAGTGAGGAAGGGAGGGGAGCCGAAGATGAAGAGGCGGGTGGAGAGGCGCCATAGATGATGTCGGAAGGGGGGGCAGTAGAGGCTGGCGCAGAGGGAGGGGTGGGAAGGGGCGGGATAGGAGGGGGGGAGGGAAGGGAAGGACAGACGGCGGCTGATCGAAATCAGACCAGTGAAGAGAGGGGACAGGAGGGGCGGGTGGGGGGGAATGGAATGGGGATTGAGTCACATCGAAAATGACGTCCTGGCTGCGGATGAGTTGGTGAGAGGAAGGGGCATAGAAAAGATAGCCAGGACAGTCAGAGTTGATGCCAAGTAATGCACAGAGCTGCGTCTTGGGAGCGAGTTTCCCACCCTGACGGGACCGGTCTGCTAGATTGACAAGAACATGGGCGACACACCCCCAGACCCAAAGAGGGCGAACAGAGGGCTGGCGGCCAGTCCAAAGCTAGAAGGGGGTGGTACTAGGGCGAAGAGGATGAGGGCGGAGGTTAGAGAGTAGAGTGGCATGGAGGAGAGCATAGCTCCAAAGAGAGTGGGGAGCGGAGGCATGGGTGAGAAGGCAGCGAGTGATTTCCATGAGAGTGCGATTGCGACGCTCGGCAACCCCATTCTGTTCGGGTGAGTGAGGAAGAGTGGAGGTCTGGCGAATGCCATGAGAGGCACAGTAAGAGGAGAGAGAGTGATTAAAGAATCCGCCACCACCATCCGAGTGGAAGCGCGCAACAGGACGCTTAAAGCGTAGACGAGCCTGCTCAGCCCAGCGAATGATGAGGGAGGGAGCGTCATATTTGGCACGGAGGGGATAGACAGTGGAAAATCGTGAGTGGTCATCAACCAAAAGCAGAAATTAGCGATGACCCTGACGAGAAGCAGTAGGTGAAGGACCCCAGAGGTCCATATGAACAAGGTCAAGGGGTTGGGGAGAGGCAGAGGGAGAAGAGGGATGGGGTGACTGGGATAATTTGGCCTGGACACATGGGGTGCATGGAGGAGCAGGAGAGGGAGGAAGGGGGGGGAGAGAGGAAGGGAGGCCATGAAGAAGCTTGGAGGAGACCATACTGCGAAGAAGGGGAAAATTGGGGTGGCCAAGCCGATGATGGAGGAGAAGGGTAGGTTGAGTGAGAGAACGACAGTCGCAAGAAGGAACGGGAGGGGCGGAAGCGGAAGAGGCATGATGGGCAGAAGGGGGGAGAGAGACACGAAGAGTGTAGAGGCGAGTGATAGGGGAAAGAGTAAAGCGTGCAAGATGGCGGTTGCGATGATAGAGATCACAATAGGAGTCCCATTAAGGAAAGATAGCTCGCACACAAAGACGTTGAAGAGCAGAGAGAGAGAGAAGGTTGTGGCGGCAGGAAGAGACATAGAGGCCAGTCACAGCACCAGAGGGGGAGGCAGGACAAGGAAGAGAGGAGGTAGCAGTGCAAGTCATGGTCATGGTATCCCCAGCTCCTTGAATGGAGAGGGGATGGGGAAAAGAGCGAAGCACACCAGCGTCACGAAAACAGAGTCAATGGCACCACTGTCAAGAACAAACTCACGAGTGTGAGGGAGAGAAAGAGCAGCAGCTGTGGGACGAAGATACTAAGAATCATTGCCATTAACAGAAGGAGCAAACATCATGGCAAAACGAGGGTCCATAAGGGGAGAAGCCCCCAGAATGCTATCCTGACTAGGCATAGTCACACTGAGAGCAGAGGTTTGAGCATTGGTACCAGAGTCAGCAGCCACAAGTACCGCCTGGGCAGAAGACTGGCGACGCTGGCGAGAGAGTTGAAGCCAGTTGGGAGGAAAGGTGTTGCGAGGGCGAGAGGAAGCAGCGGCGGCAGTGGAGGTGGGGAGAGGGGGGGGGGGGCGGAAGAGGGTGTGACAGCGGCAGCAGTAGGAGGGCAGCTGCGGAGGTTGAGCTCTGCCTGGAGGAGGAAGGCAGAGACACGAGAGAACGACCACTGGTCGGCAGGGCGCTCACCATACAGAGTGACATGAACACTGTATTCAGGAGTGAGGCCTGTGAGGAGGAGGGCACCGCACACATGATCGGAAAGTTCAAACTTTTGAGAGGCAAGTTGGGAGGACAACGTCTGCACACGAGCGATGTAGTCCGCCATGGTGGTGAAATCAGCAAGGCGAAGAGAGGTGAGCTCGCGTAAGAGGGCAATGACACTGATAGGAGTCTGCGACTGGAAGCGCTCGGTAAGATAGCCGAGAAGGTCCTTGGCATAGCGGATGTGCGAGCACTGAGGGAGAAGAGTTGGAGGGAGGGAGGCAAGGATGACCTGACAGGCACGTGCGTTGGCAACTTGCCAGTCAGCGAGAAGGTTAGAGTGAGATGGAGCAGAGGAAATGGGCGTAGACGCAGAGCGAGGAGAAGGGGCAGCGAGGTGCTCAGTGAGGCGCTTGCGGGTGCTCTCGAGGGACTCAGCAAGAATACGAGCTAAGTCACGGGCAGCAGCATTGTCAGGAGCAGCCGTGGCGGTGGCTTGCACCGTGGTCACAAGCCGCTCAGTGTCAGCAATGGCAGCACGGAGGCCATCAGCATAGGGGTCAGAGGAGGAAGAGGTGGGTCCAGAGGGAGAGGTGGGAATGGCGCCAGAACCACTCTGCTGAGTGACAAACCAGAGGTTAAAGCCACTCACGAGGGTGCCAGACAGCGTGCGCTCAAGACAGTTCAGCCAACTGGGGAAGTTGAATGCACTGCCATCGGGCGCAAGCTGAAGGACCAGCAGAGGGAGGGAGGGGAGGGCGAGAGAGGTCGCCATGAGGAGGAGGAAACAGCTGCAGAGCAGATGTGGGGAGAGGTATAAGAGGCGGAGGAATAAGGGCGGGGTAGTCTGCTGCTGAGCCGCTGAGGGGAGAAACAAGAGGAGGAGGGAAAGTGGCGGAATAGTCTGCTGCTGAGCCGATGCGGGGAGAAACTAGAGGAGGAGGGAAAATGGCGAAGTAGTCTGCTGCTGCGCCGATGAGGGGAGAAACCAGAGGAGGAGGGAAAATGGCGGAGTAGTCTGCTGCTGCGCCGATGAGGGGAGAAACCAGAGGAGGAGGGATAGCGGTGGAGAAGTCTGCTGCTGTGCCGCTGAAGGGAGAAACAAGAGGAGGAGGGAGAGTAGGGAAGAGTGTGCAGTTGAGCAGTTGAGAGGAGGATGTTGAGGAGGAGGGAAGGTGTGGAAGAACAACAGCTACACAACACAATCAGCTACCAGCTGCAGCAGATGAAGAGAGAAAAGAGGTGGAGGAGGGGTGAGATAGTGGAGAGGGAAGCACAAAGGAGAGAGGGAAGGAGGAGGAGGGTGAGGGAAGGGGCGGATTGAGGAAGGGCAGAGCGCGCCGCAAGGAAGGGCAGGCACGCGTGCTACTGGACGGTGCTTAGCGCGCGCGGCGGCAGGAGTGCAATGCGTGCGCGACGAGACAGGGAGGGGGGAGGGGATAGCTGAGCGCGTTACGGGCGGAAATCGGCGTGCTATTGTCCGAAACGTAAGGAGGAGGAAGCGGGATGAAGAGGGAAGATGTGGGCGGATAATCTGAACGGTAGGGAAGTGCGCTACGGACTAGATTAGGGCACCCGAGCGAGTATAACGAAGAGAACCGCGCGGATGCTAAGAGTGACGAGAAAGAAACGAGAGGAAAGGGAAAAAAAAAAAAAACAAAAAAAATGTCGTCTAGCCAAGTAGCGCGGAAAACGGCCTAAGGGCCGGAGATTATCTAAGAAATGCGGATGAATACGAAACGCCTAGGACTACGCTCTGAATACCATGTTAAGATGAGAGGAGCCATGGATGGCGAGAGAGTTAGGTAGGGTCGAAAAAGTTGAACTAGGAAGAGAAATGTCGAGGTACAAAAGAGAGAGGGTTGGAAACCCTAATTGAACCTAGGGTGTGTTCGGTTTGTATTAAGAACTACGAAATGAACCTAAAATGAACCTGAATGCGTAACTCTCTCTAAGCATGGAGAAATAATATAAGAACACCACAATAAAGACTAGAGCGAGCTCTAGCCTACTCCAACACGCTCCCACCCCGAAGATGACCACTCTACGGGTGTTGCTGTATGTTGCAGCACTGCGCGACTGTCAGATTTATATGACAGAGCTACTGTAGGCTATAGTGGGGTAGCACATATGGGGTACAGTTTTCCAGGGTTTGCATTTTGTACCCAACTTTCCCTTAGTCATTTTCATTCCTGCTTTCTTAATTCACATGGTATAGAGCGGGTTCCTACATGGGACCGTTCCTTCCTAAGGGCCCACCATAACGATTTTTTTTTTTTTAGCTGCCCGACGCGCATTGCGCCCCTGCCCTAAAATTTTTTTTAGCGGCCCCCCCCCTAGCGGCCCTTACGCGGCCCCTACGCGGCCCCTACCCGGCCCCTACGTCGCCCCTGACGCGGCCCCTACGCGGCCTCTGACGCGGCCCCAACGCGGCCCCTGACGTGGCCCCTACGCGGCCCCTGGCGCGGCCCCAACGCGGCCCCTGACGCGGCCCCAACGCCGCCCCTGACGCGGCCCCTACGCAGCCCCTGACGCGGCCCCTGCCGCGGCCCCTGACGCGGCCCCTACGCGGCCCCTACGCTGCCCCTGAGGCAGCCCCTGACGCGGCCCCTGACGCGGCCCCTCCATCGCCACTACCGCGGCCCCTACGCCGCCCCTGATGCCGCCCCTGACGCGGCCCCTGCCGCGGCCCCTAACGAGGCCCCTGACGCGGCCCCTGACGCGGCCCCTGCCGCGGCCCCTGACGAGGCCCCTGACGCGGCCCCTGACGCGGCCCCTACGCCGCCCCTGACGCGGCCCCTGACGCGGCCCCTGACGCGGCCCCTGACGCGGCCCCTGACGCGGCCCCTGCCGCGGCCCCTGCCGCGGCCCCTGACGCGGCCCCTGACGCGGCCCCTGCCGCGGCCCCTGCCGCGGCCCCTGACGCGGCCCCTGACGCGGCCCCTTCGCCGCCCCTGCCGCGGCCCCTACGCCGCCCCTGACGCGGCCCTCTCCTGCACCTGACGCGGCCCCTAGCGGCCGGCCGCTGCCGTCCCTGAGGCAGCAGCCGCCGCCGTCTCTGCAGCAGCAGTCGCAGCCGAACGGCCGAGCTGCCGAGCCGCCGAGCCGCCCAGCAGCCGAGCCGCCCAGCCGCCGAACCGCCCAGCAGCCGAGCCGCCCAGCAGCCGAGCCACCGAGCCGCCCAGCAGCCGAGCCGCCGAGCCGCCCAGCAACCGAGCCGCCGAGCCGCCGAGCCGCCCAGCAGCCGAGCCGCCGAGCCGCCCTGCAGCCGAGCCACCCGAGCCGCCCTGTCCGGTAAGAGCAGCGCCCCTTTCACAGCACTGCCCTCACCCTACTGTTTGCGCTGCTAGTCTACTACTGTCATGGCTACCCCTAGTGTCCTCGCTTTTGACGCTGAGGGTCGGGCCATTGACTTTGATGTCTGCATAGATGACCTGCAGCTTTTCTTACAGTGCGACAGGGCAGACGGCCTCTCCCTCTTTGACCTCACTTCTGGTGCCTCTCCTGCCCCCGCAGCTGATGCTGACGCCATTGTTCGCTCACAGTGGGCCACGCGCGATGCTGCTGCACGTCTTGCTGTGCGTCGCCACCTGCCTACCTCTGAGCATGCGCACTTTAGCCAGTACAAGAGTGCTCAGACCTTGTACGACGCTGTAGTTGCGCGCTACTCCTCCCCTGCCACTGCTGCACTGAGCCGCCTCATGCTACCGTACCTCTTCCCTGACCTTGCTGCCTTTCCCACAGTCGCTGACCTCATTACGCACCTCCGCACTAGTGACACTCGCTACCGCGCTGCGCTTCCTGCTGAGTTCTGCGCCAAGAACCCCCCCCCCATGTACATCACCCTCTACTACATAGTCACCCGGCTCCCTGACTCCCTTCGCGTAGTCAGGGACCACTTCCTCTCAGTTTGCCCCACCACTCTCACCGTTGACCTCCTCGAGAAGTCCCTCCTAGCAGCAGAGAAGAGCATAGTCGCTGTAGGAGCCTCTCGTGGTGACCCTCGCACCCCCATCTTTGAGGGGTGTTCCCCCTCCCCCCTTTTGCCCTCTGTTGCCTCTGCTGCTGCGGCCGACCTCGTTGGGCTTGAGTCGGTCGGTGCGGCGTCTACCCCTAGCGGGAGACGTCGCCCTGGCAAGGGCAAGGGGGGCAGGGGCACTGGAGGAGCTAGCGGGGGCGGTGGAGGCGGAGGTGGAGGCGGTGGAGGGGGTGGGGGTGGCGGTGGGGGTGGTGGCGGGGGTGGAGGTGTCGGTGGCGGCAGTGGAGGCGGAGGCGGAGGCGGCGGTGGCGGTGGGAGCGGAGGTGGCGGCGGTGGAGGAGGAGGCGGCGGAGGAGGTGGAGCTGGTCGGGGTGGCGCTGCGCAGAGGGTCGGCTCCGGTGGTGGTCAGCGCCAGCAGCAGCAGCAGCAGCAGCAGCGCACTCGTGACATCCCCTCCCCTCAGCAGCTCCGTGAGTGGTACACTGCACGCCAGAGGGGTTGGGGTACTGGTCCGTGCACCTACGTCCTCCGCACCGGCGACCGCGCGGGTGACCAGTGCGGGGGTGCGCACTCCACCCAGCGCTGCTTTGGCCGCCTGACGGACGCTTGGCGTCACCAGTTCCCTGAGGCCACTGAGATCCCCCGCTGGGGTGAGCTGTCTAGGGCGGGTGTAGCTGTCTTTGACCTTGACTTTGATGCTATTCTTGCTGCCATGTATACTGTGACTATTAGTGATGAGGGTGACTGTTACCGGTGTTTTCCGCCCGACCCGGGCATTGAGACTGCTGCTCTAGGTACTGGTGAGGCTGCTGCTCTAGGTGCTAGCGAGGCTGCTGCTCTAGGTGCGTCTGCTCCCTCAGGTGCTGGTGAGTCTGCTCTCTCAGGTTCTGCGTCGGCTTCGGCCTCCCACACCTTCACCCTTGACTCGGGGGCTTCTCGCTCCTTCTTTCGAGACCGCACCACACTCACGCCGCTTGGCCGGCCAGTTGCAGTCTCTCTGGCAGACCCCTCTGGGGGTCCTGTCCTTGCTCACTTCTCCACTGTCCTCCCGTGTCCAGCGGCCCCCTCTGGCACCCTGTCTGGTCTTTACCTCCCCTCGTTCTCTACGAACTTGGTGAGTGGTGCTGACCTACAGGATGCGGGGGTTCACCAGTTCACTCCTGCGAGTCAGCGGGTGACCCACTGCACGGACGCTCGGACAGGCCGACACCTGGCCACGTTTACACGTCGGCCGGGGTCGAGCCTGTACACACTGACCACTGCGTCTCCTCCGGTCACTGCGTCTGGTCAGGTAGCTGCGTCAGGTCAGGTGTTTGCTGCAGCGTCCAGGTCTGGTCCTGAGTCTGCCCCCTGTTCGTGTCGCCTCCTGTCTCACGAGACTCTCCTCTGGCACCACCGCCTTGGTCACCCCTCCCTGCTTCGTCTCCAAGGCATGGCCTCCCGTGTCCTTGTCTCTGGTCTTCCCCGGTCCCTCCCTCCCCTTCCTCCGGGGCCTGGCCCTACCTGCGTCCCCTGTGTCGAGGGGCGGCAGCGGGCTGCCCCTCACTCCTCCCAGTTTCCTCCGACAGAGGCCCCGCTGCAGACGCTTCACATGGACGTGTGGGGCCCGGCCCGCGTCCGTGGACAGGGTCACGAGCGCTACTTCCTGCTGGTGGTTGACGACTACTCGCGTTACACCACAGTCTTCCCCTTGCGCAGCAAGGGTGATGTTACTGAGGTGTTGATCGACTGGATCCGCGCAGCTCGTCTCCAGCTCAGGCAGAGCTTCGGCTCGGACTTTCCTGTTCTGCGTCTGCACTCTGACAGAGGTGGAGAGTTCTCCTCTGGCCTTCTGCGAGCCTACTGTCGTGCACGAGGCATCCGCCAGACCTTCACGCTTCCGGACTCTCCACAGCAAAATGGGATTGCTGAGCGCCGCATTGGCATGGTCATGGACGTCGCCCGTACGTCCATGATGCATGCGGCTGCCCCCCATTTTCTGTGGCCGTTTGCTGTTCGGTACGCGGCGCATCAGATCAACCTTCACCCCAGGGTCTCCATGCCGGAGACCTCCCCAGCCTTGCTGTGGACGGGGAAGGTTGGCGATGCGTCTGCGTTCCGTGTCTGGGGATCTTGGGCGTTTGTCCGCGACTTGTCTGCGGACAAGCTGTCCCCTCGTGCTGCTCCTTGCATCTTCCTTGGCTTCCCCCCTGACGCGCCAGGGTGGCAGTTCTACCACCCCACCTCTCGCCGTGTTCTGTCCTCCCAGGACGTCACGTTTGACGAGTCGGTCCCCTACTACCGCCTCTTCCCCTACCGCACTCCGTCCCTCCCCCCGCCACCGCTCTTCCTTGTACTAGGTCCCCCCCCGGTAGACCCCCTCCCCCCTCAGGGTCCTGCCCCTTTAGGTGTGTCCCAGGTAGACGCAGTCGAGCCTGTCGAGGTTACTGGTGACTCTGGTGCTGCTGAGGGTGCTGAGCCTGGGGGTGCTGACTCTGGGGGTGCTGAGCGTGTGGGTGCTACGCCTGGGGGTGCTGAGCCGGAGGGTGCTACTACTGGGGGTCCTGAGCCTGGGGGTGCTGAGCCTGGGGGTGCTACTACTGGGGGTGCTGAGCCTGGGGGTGCTGAGCCTGGGGGTGCGGAGCCTGAGGGAGCTGGGCCTGCTCGTGTGGCGTCTGGCGGTGCTGAGCCTGGAGGTTCTCCGGGTGCTTCGTCTCGGCGGGAGCCACTCTCTCCACAGGAGCTGCGCGAGTGGTTTGCCCGGCGCTGGAGGCGTGCTGCTGGAGCTGGAGGTTCTTCGGCTGCTGAGGGTGCTGGTGCCGTGGGTCC